TCCGAGCGGGGCCTCCGTACGGACGTCCAACGGCGACACCACACCAGAATCCAAAAACGGCCGAATCGTTCGCGAAGCCGAGACCGACCGAAGACGATGGACCGAACGCAGCCTGGAAGAACGCAGGAAGAGCAGCAACGGATCGAACCGAGCCAGCCGGAGGCAGCCGACTGCGAATCAGCCGAACCGACCGAACCGCGGGCACACTTGATCCGAGAAATCATGCGCATGCGGATTTTCTGTCGAGGGAAGGAGAGGGGGGGCACTGAAACTAAAACGTCAGAATCTACCTAGGGCGGGGCGTGCTTGGCGCCTCACGTTTCAACGTTGCGCCACGCACGCGCCGCGAATCTGGCAACCTCCTGGTACTCCTCCTGGCACTCCGACGAGTGGGATACCCACTTTCGCGTGTGGAACTTGACGTCGAACCTACAGGACCGAATAATCGGATGTTGCCAGAAGTGTCCCTGGCCTGAGGTGTCCCGAGGATTTCCAGGAAGCCCCCTGCCTCCAGAGCTCCAGGGCGGCCCACCAGTCCCCAGGGGCTCTAAAGTGGGCCGACAAGCCGTAGGCAACATGGGCCAAGGACACCTTCGGCATCACTTGAAATGAGCACGTCGGCTCCAGCAGAAAGAGGCGGGTCGAAAGGAGCGGGGCTGGCTCGACAATGACCCTAAGTCGGCGGTACATCGCTTACGATAGATCGGCGACAAGCCACTCAAAGCAAAACCGCGTGCTCCTGGGCGGGTTGAAGGGCCCAGGCACCGACCGGTGATGCATGGGCGATGAGGGGTCCGAAACAGCCGATGCCCCGAATCTTTCAATACGGGGTCCCCAGATGCTCCGACCCTCCCTGGTCCGCGGGCGCCGCACGAATTCCGCGCCGCCCTGGGAGGCCTCCAAAGCCGCCCGCCAACGCGCGCTGAGGAGGGTGTGGCAGGTTCAGCCGGGGGAGGGCCAGTCAGAGACCTCCCTGGCGTTCTTCGTCCTTCTTGGGCCTCCTGGAGCGCCACAGCTGAATCCGCATGGAGGAAAGGGTCAGGATGGACCCCGGGAGGGGTCTGGGCTGGGGGCCCATTCTGATCGGGCTTAGGCTGGGCGGGAGGGCCAGCGTCGACTGGCCCTCCTCCGAGAATCAGGAGTCGAATCGAATCGAAATGTGCATCGGATCGGGCCGCACAGAGTCCAGATCGAATCCGATCGGTCGCGCCACGATGCAACGCAGCGTCGTGCAAGCATCGGGCCGCATCGGATCGTCTGAATCGAGGAGTCGAATCGGATCGTGCCGGCCAGAATCGATGTCGAATCGGATCGAGATGGATCCTGTTTCGTGGGCGTGGGGGGAGGGGGGCCTCTGGCGCCGGCAGCGAAGCCGTCCGCGGGCGTACGAACGTCGAGCCGGGTTTTTTTTCGTGTTTCCTGGACACACAACTGGGCACCACCGCCTTGAGCGGCCAAGGCCATCCTGGGCACAGGCATGGTGTCGACACGCCGCCCTGCGGATTGTCCTGATTTTTCTGTTGTCCCCCTGCGGGCTGGGAGCCCCTGAGAGACCAGCCACTCGTAGGACCTCTGGGCGGCCCGCCAGGGCACGATGGCGTCCGAGCGCCCGTGGAAAACCAGCACGGGGCACGAACCCGCACGCCGCGCCACGCTCTCCTACCGACCTCCACCTTCAGCACGGCAGGCTCACGTCGCGATGACGTCGGTTACGTTTTGGGTTCCTGACACCATGAGCACCGTTCCATCCTCAGCGACCGGCGCTTGAACGACAGCGCGGATCGTTCGATGTCGGCCGAGTCTGGACAACTGGCGGCGGTCACCTTTGAACGCCCGCGCTGGTATCGCCGCAGCGCCAACGCGGCGCGAGCCTGCCACTCTCTTTGCGCGGCAGGTGCCGCGGCGACGGCGGCTGCGCCGCAGCGGCACTTGCCGCGCAAAGGCGAGAAGGGTGAAGTCGTCGTTGGGGCGTTGGGGTGGGGGGGTGGGCCAAACGTCTCCCCCGTGTCTCACGGGGGACGATTCAACAAATATGTTTCTGTCGACGGGGTAGATTTGGGGAAGACGACCAAATAATTTCCATGACGATGATGACGTGGCCACCTGAGAGTATGCCTGGAACCCAATACGTCAATCATCGCCCAGAGCACTGACGGGCCCCCTTTGGCATTTTCCCAAACAGCGAGTTGTACTTTGGATTTCGTACCTTGTGAGGAACTGGGCCTGTGCGTCAGTTTGGCGGCTATGTTGCCGCCGCTCCGTCGCCGCCTCGTCGCTGGCCGTCGTCTGGGCTGTTCTGTCGGTCAAGCGTCTACGTTGTCGCCGTGGCCGCCGCCCCGTCGCCGCCCAAGAGTGCATGACACGGATTCGCTTGTCGTCTGGGCATGTCTGTCGGTCTGGCGGCTATGCTGTCGCCGTCGCCACCCCGTCGCCGCCTCGCAAAGGCACTAGATTGCACAATATGGATTGCACCGCATACGTTGCACCAGAAATAACGCAGCGCTTAAAATGGAGGGCACGCCGCTGGATCACCCAAAGGGGGGGGGTCCGGGACCCCCCCCCACCTTTCCCCGATCCGTCGTCCCCCCCTTTCCCCGATCCGTCGACGGCAGACCCCCCCCCCTCCCGCTCCATCGTCGGCGGACTCCCCCCTCCCCCCTTTTCCCGATCCCTCGCCGGCGGACCCCACCCCCCCCCCTTTTCAAAAGGTGGAGGGTCTCCCCTTTGAGCGTGAAATTCGGACCCCCCCCCCTCCCCCCCTCCCCCCTTTCGCCACGCCGCACACTGCTCTGGAACCCGATCCCTACCACACCCAACGCTCAACCTAATCCCTGCCCTAACCCCTTATCTCTAACCCAACCTCCCACTCCTAGCCCTAACCCCTACCCTACGCCGAACCTTACCCTCTATCACTGTTCCCTATTAATAAACACCCCCTCCCCCAGGCGACCGGGGGCCAACCCAGGTCCATGACGACACCCCCCCCCACAATCCCTTGCAAAAAACAATACAAAACACACTCTGCCTCCAAATTCGGAACATGCGCAGCCAACCCGATGCGCCCCCCCCCCCACCATCCCTCACAAAAAACAATACAGAGTACACTTGGCGGAGGCGGCGGCGGCGGCGGCTGCGGCGGCGGCGGCGGCGGCTGCGGCGGCGGCGGCGGCGGCGGTGGCGGCGGCGGCGGCGGTGGCGGTAGCGGCAGCGGCTGCGGCGGCGGCGGCGGAGGCGGCGGTGGCGGCGGCGGATTGGCCCCCAGTAGACCCATCCGAAGACGACTGCTGAATACGCTGAGGCTCGGGCCAGACTCGGGTGCTACGTATGTGTTGGGAGGGCAGGTGGGAGTGAGCGAGACGGCTTGCGGGGGGGGGGGGGGGGGTCTTGACCCAAACCCCTACCCTAACCCCTAATTCAAACCCTAATCCCCACCCGAACCCCTACCCTGAGCCCTAACCATAAACCTTAACCCCTACCCGAACCCTAACCCCTACCCTAACCCCTGATCCTAACCCTGACCCCTACCCTAACCCTAACCCTAACCCTAACCCCTACCCTAACCCTAACCCCTACCCCTAACCCGAACCCTACTCCTTACCCCTTACCCTGGCCCCTAACCCTAACCCATCACCCTAACCCTAAGACCTAACCCTAACCCCTAACCCTACTCTAACCCCTAACCCTGACCTGAAGCCCTAACCCTTACCCTAAGCCCTAATCCATCACACTAAACCCTAACCCTAACCCCCAGCCCTGCGCTAACCCCTACCCCAACCCCTTTTTTTTTCCTGCGCGAAGACCGCCCGATCCGCTTCCCCTCGATGGGGGCTATTCCCAGCGCAACTCCACCGACCAGTGACGACTGCAAGGCACTGAAAGCAAAAATCCTGCAATGGCCCCGGGCTCGGGGGAGGAGCAGACAAGCCGGCCAGTATTAGGCTGCGCGCCAGACATACCCCAGTCCAGCTCGACTAAAGCAGCCGCAACGGAGGGGAAGGCGAGGGGAAGGAGGAGGAGGAGGAGGAAGAGGGGAGCGAGGGGAGAAGGGAAACATGCGACACACTGCTGTGCAACCGCCCACGGCCTACGACGTCCAGCCGTGGCTCATAGAAGACAAGGCGTCCCCATCAGGAGCCAGAGGTGCCATGCTACAGTACCCGCGCATATCAAGAAAGGAGGCGGGAGGAAGGGGAGGAGAGGAAGAAACGACAGAGAAAGAAGGGGAAGGAGGAGGAAATATCGGAAACTCGCGAGGCTGAGCGACGCGACCTCGCATACGTCTGGCACCGCACTCTTGGCGGGCATGGCGAAAGCCAGAGAACAACTAGTAGAATGAGCATGCATCGATACAAACGGCAACCTGGAGAGGGGAGGGAGTGCGGAGGCAGATCTGCAAAGTCGAACACTCAGGCCCCAGCACGTGCCAAGCGCCATCCAGCCGGCGTGGACGAAATGGCCGGGAGTTCAAACGAGGAGGAAGCCTCCGCACAGCGCATCTCCTAATGTGAGCCTGAGAGATGCGGACGCTGCCGAAAATGCCCCCCCCCCGAGGGGCCGCAAGCCCAAGAAGGCGAGGGACCGCCCCCCGACGACGACGACGACGACGACGACGACGACGACGACGACGACCACGACGACGACGACGACGACGACGACGACGACGACGACGACGAGAAGCGGCCCCCTCCCCCCCAAGGCGTGGGGCCCCCAGGGGAGGCGGTGGGAGGACGCGAGATCATTCGCGCGCCAAGGGACAGAGGAGGAGGGAGGAGAGCGCAGCTGAGGAGGGGGGTGCCGACAAAGTGGCTGGAGATTTTTTCAGCCACTTTGTTTCGGAGGCAGCGAGCGGGGAGGCTCCGCATGGGCGGCGAAGGCGGCCCAAGACAGCCCGCAAAGATCAGGAGTTCAGGTTTTTCAGCTGCAAAATAAATAAATCGCACCCCGCGCGACTACCATGCAACACAGTGGCAGCAATGCAGCTTTAAGATTTGTTGCTGCTACCTCGTCTCCCCCAGGCAGGCACTTGCGTTAAAGTGCCCGGTGGCTCCTGCAGGGGCTAAGGAGGGATGCTTTCACACATTCGACTGTTCCCACTCCGGCCGGCACGAGCGGCGGCGGCGGCGGCGGCGACAACCGAGGGCCAATGCTGAACCATCGACGGCCGGCTTGTACAGACAGAGTGATAATGTCACGGAGTCTGCGGGACACACGACGTCATGCGCGCACGCCTAGAGGGAGGAAGGAGGCGAGGGAGGGAGGAAAGAAGGACGAGGGAGGAGGGGGGAGAGGAAAAACGGCAGAAACGCTAAGTTGCGCCCCCGTGAGGGCGGCGCCGGGCAAGCCGCAGAAGGCCGTCCAGCTGCGCGTGGCCCCTCGCGCCCTCTTTCAAAAACGAAACTAGCGCGTCAGGGGCGTTGCGCCGCAGGAGCGATCCAGTCCGCACCGCGGCTTGCGCCCTGTACGCCGCGTACACTGTGAGGGCGCGAAGAAGGGTGCACTGCTCCGCGCTTCTCTCGACCCCCGCCACGCCCTGCGAAGGCAGCAAATTGAGAAAGCACCCTAGCTTGCTGTCCCTGCCCGCAGGGGTCTCCAACCCCGCGTGCTTTCGACAGAACGCGTGGTAGACTTCGCACTGGGCGTAATGCTCTATACAATCAGCTCCGCCGCCGCAGTGGAGGGCACAAGGTGCGCTCCCTTGGAAGCGCCGCGCCGTGCACCACCCGTTCATGGCAGTGCGGAGGAAGGCCGCGGCAACGCGAGGCGTGCCGCGGGCGCTGAGCAGCCGCCCCACGTTCACCAGCTGCGCGGGGCGGTCCCGGGGCTGGGATCGCAGCGGCCACCGGTCTAGCCTCCTGCGAGCATGCGCCATTGCGGCGCCAGGAGCAGGCCGCAGGAGCTGCGTCGCCTGCCGCTGCCAAGTCCTCTTCGTCTAGAGGCGTTCCCTACCCCAACCCCTAACCTTAACCCTAACCCCTACCCTTTACCCTAACCCTAAGACCTAACCCTAACCCACAACCCCCACCCGTAACCCTGACCCGAATCCTTAATCCCAACCCTATGCCCTAACCCTAACCCCTAAACTCTACCCTAACCCCTAACCGTAACCCTAATCCCTGATATTAACCCTAAGCCCTGACCCTAACCCCTAAACGCTACCCTAATCCCTACCCTAACCCTACCCTCTACCCTAACCCCCACCCGAGCCCCTAACCCTAATCCCTACCCTAAACCCTAACCCGGACCTAACCCCTAATCCCAACCCCAACCCCTGCCCCTACCCTAACCCGAACTCCTAACCTCAACCCTAAGCCCTCACCCCTAACTCCTGACCGTAAGCCTAAATCCTAACCCTAACCCCTAATCCCTACCCTAACTCTTACCCTAACCCTAACCCATTCCCTTAACCCGTACCCTAATCCTAAACCCTAATCCTTACCCCGACCCTAAACCCTAACCCTAACCCATAACCCCTAACCATAATCCCTACCCTAACCCTAACCCCTACCTCAACCCTAACCCCAAACCCCGAATACCTTCACCCTAACCCTAACCCCTACCATAAACCCAAACCCTACCCCTTACGCCTAACCCTAGCCCCTAACCGTGACCCGAACCCCTGACCCTAACCCTAAGAACTAACCCTAGCCGCTAAACCCTACCCTAACCCCTAACCCTCACCCGAATCCCTAACCCTTATCCTAAGCTGTAATTCAAGCCCCGAGCCCCTGACCTGAACCCCCAGCCCTGCCCTAACCCCTAAACTAACCCTTAACATTAACCCTGACCCATACCCTAAACCCTAATTCTAACCTGACCCCCAATCCCAAGTCCCACTTCTAAGCTTGACACTAATCCTAATCCCAAGCCCTATGCCCTAACCCTAACCCCTAAACCTTACCCTAACCCCTACCCCCAACCCGAATCTCTAATATTAACCCAAAGCCCTAACCCTAGCCCTTAAACGATACCGTAATCCCTACCCTAACCCTACCCTCTACCCTAACCACCACCTTAACCTGGGCCTCCAGCGCTCCCGAGCGCACCACATGGCATGCAGCACCTAAATCTTCTTTTCTTTTAAAAAAAGAACTCGGATCTACCACAACCATCCAAGATAATCCGCCCGCCCAGGGGAGGTGCAATTCACATACGATTTTGTGCCATCGTTCATTCGAACGATCTCGTACCATCCCATCACAGAAGGCATCGCCCCGCCCCCACCCCACACACACCTCTTTGTTTTACCAACCAAAAAAACACATCCGCACGCGTGCGTCGGCGCGCGCGCATGCCAGAATTATTCCAAAACCGTGGGCTTCGGAGGGAATTCAAAATCGCTCGTCCCGAAGACATGTACCTAAAAACGCATGGTTATGCAAGACATGCTTTCGGGGAAAAAATATGCGGGCGCTGTTGCGAAGTCTGAAAGAAAACCAAACTCAAACGGGTATGTCGCGTGCGCGTGTCGAAATCATGCGAAAACCCTTGCGCGCGTGCACCGGGGGGGGAGGGCACGATCCCTGTCGCGCGCGGCGCTCAAGTGCCCGCGCGTCAGCGCGGCTTGTGGGAAGCGCTGGCAACTCCCCAGCGGTCAGCGCCATCGCGGCCGCGTCGGTCGCACCAAACTAGCTGGTCGCTCTACGCGCAAACCCGCGCGCGCGCGAACGCGGCCGCAACGATTCGCCAACCAGCGCCAGGCAGGCATCAAAATTACGACCGCATGGGGTTTGCAAACAAACTTGCGGGCGGGCGGGTGGGGCGATTGTGCGAGCAGTGGCGCTGACAACTCCGTCAAACAAACAACAATAAGATCTACCACAACCGCCACCGCCCCTGGATTATCCGCCCGCCATCTTGCGCTGCAACTTACATGTGGTTCTGCCTGGGCATCAGCACCCCTTCTTATTCGGACTCATACCTCCGCTGCCAGGCAGGCATCGACGCACCCTCATCCTTGAAGAAGAACACTACGCGCGCGCACTCGCTCATAAAACATCAAATCCCTCGCGCCAGATAAAAGCGGGTCAAAATTTACGCGCACGCGACGTCGCGCGCGCACGCCGACACCCTTCAAAAAAACCTCAAGCTTCGCGGGGAATTCAAAACCGCACACTGCTTGGTAACGAGCCCTCAAGAAGGTCTGCGCGCGGGCTCTCGCGAGCGATCGAGCGCTTAAGAAAACCACAGATTGCTCTGCATTTCGTCAAAGGCGACCCAACGGGCCCCTCGCGCGCGCATGCCGAAATCATTCGAGAACCCTCGCGCGCGCCACGGGGGCGGGCGCGAACCCTTGCAGAGAATGCCGCGCTTGCCACTCGCGCTCGTCGGCCGCGCGCGCGTCGAAATCCTTCCGCGACCTCCATCGCCGACGCGCGGGCGCCATCATCGTCATCGGCGCGATCAGCATCGGCGCCGTCTTGCGTTCACCTTGCCGTCGTCAGCATCATCGTCGCCACTGCCGCCGCTGCAACCGCCATCGCGTCTGCCGCCGTCGACGTTGCCCTGGTACCGCGCCCGCCAGAGTCGCCGACTCGCGCCGGCGCCCACCAGGGTGCTGAAACAACGCTTCGGGGGCGCGGGAAGTGTTATCCTTTTGCCGGAAGCGGGGGGGATCTTTGCATTCTTTTCGCTGATAATTTGCACCACGCAGATTGCGAAAACACGGAGTGTTTGAGGTCCACGCTGGCAAACACATTACATCTTCCTACATGACACAGCACAGGTCAGTTCTCGGCAGCGTCCAGCTTGACTACTGCCCACGAGCCGACCTGGCACGGAGGAAGCGGGTCCTGGCAGAGACGGGGTCCTGGACCCTGGAAGGTTTTCCCCAGGGACGGCCTGGACCGTTTTCTGACGGTCACGGGGCCCCATGGAAGGCCCCAGGAGACCGAAATCTGCGACAAACTCCACGGGGCTCGTTTCCCTCAGGACCCCCTCCCTTGAAGGCGGTCGAGTCCTCGGTCAGGTCCCACAGGGTCTCGCTCTGCATCATGCCTCGCGTGCAGAAGCAGCCCGCGATGCTGTCCACGTGCTCGGGCGCGTGCAGCACCAGGTCCAGCGCGAGCGCCGCGCCCTGCGAGAGGCCGCCTAGCACGATGCGGCCGCCGGGCGGCAGGCGACGGTGCTCGTCCTCCAGCAGGCGCAGCAGCCGCCGCCTCTGCTCGATGAAGTGGGCCCAGGACACCGCGTCCTCCGAGGAAACACTATCTGGACAGAAATACAAAAACTTTTGGATCAGTGCTGGGCACCCCTGAGGCGCCGCCATGGGGTCAAAACCAAGAGATCCGCGCGGAGCTTCGAAATGTTACGCGCATGCTTTGTCATGGTGTTTTCTCCTCCGAGTCCTGCTCCCCTCCCAGCCGCAGGCGGTCCGTGGTATACTCGTACCAGCAATTGCAGAACTGGCCGCCCCACGACAGCCGCCGCCGGGGGGAGCAGGGGGCCACGACGCGGACGTCCTGCGGCCGCACCTGGCCGAAGAGGTGCGGGACGTAGTAGAACACGTCCGCCGGGCCGTTGGAGCCGCTGTGGAGGAAGAGGAGCGTGAACCTCGGCGGCGGCCCCTCGGCCGACCTGGGCGACAGCACCAGGTCGTGGTGCGCGATCCAGCCCGGGAGCTCGTCCTCGTCGGCGCTCGCAGCGCCGTCTTCGTCGGTCGTGCACCACTCGGCGCCGCCCGGCGCCCCGTCGCCCTGCCGCGCCCGGGCCGCGGCGGCAGGCCCGCGGCCCCTGGCCCAGCCGGCCTGGACGGAGGGCCACTTCCAGTCGCCGCCCCAGCCGCCCTCGTCCCAGGCGCCCCAGCGCCGCCCCCAGCGGGCGGCGGTCCATCCTCGGGAGGACGCGCCAGACGGCCGTCGCACTGGAGCCTGGCCCGGGCCAGTCCTGGGCCCAGGATTTCGTGCACTCGCCTCCCCGACCAAGTCAGGAAGGCGAATCCGACCCTTCCGGCTCTGCGTGCAGGGCCGCTGTCTGACGGCTTCGATCCGAAGGCCCAGCGAGGGCTACTGGAAGCCGAAAACGACGAGAAACCTTCGCCCTGACTTTGACGAGACGATGCCCAGACATGCCAAGATCTGATGTTTCAATCCTCGGCCCCAGAGCTCCCGCCCCCTTCCCCCAGGCATAGATTTGCGTCCAGGATGCACTGTTGATGGCCATTCCGCCCGAAAGCTCTGGAGCGAAGAAGAGATAACTGCTGGGCTGAGGGAACCGCCCGTAGCACCCCCTCAAGGCCGACCCCAAGCCCCCAGCAGTGATGACCTGCGCGCGGCGCCTGATTCCAAGTGCCGCGCGCAGGTCGTCACCGTCGGCGGGTCGGTCGGCAAGCTGGGGGACGGCAAGCTGGGGGCCGAGGCGCCAAAGGCGATTCCCTCAGCCCAGCGGTTGCGGTTGTCTCTTCGCCCATAAAGAGCGGCACTGGAGGCCGAAATGACGGAACAACGCCACAGTTGGGAACAACACATCGTCGGAGGCCTGGGTCGGTTGACGTCCCCCAGTCTACCAGAGTGCGCTCTCAACTGGATCTCGGAGCGAATCGCGCCGTGACGACGAGCAACGCGCGGCGATATTGGATTCGTGTCCGCCTCCGAGGCCGGTTGACGTCCCCCGACGTCCGCCGCCGTCCCAAGTGCGGCTTCTGCCGCGGCCTGGGCGGCCCTGGCTGGGAGCGCCGCTGGCCCCCGCCTCTGAGAGGGAGCGGTAAGGAGGGGGGGGGGGGAAAGGCGCAGGGGATCCGCGCGCTCCTGGGAGGGGGTGGCCTATCGGGCCCCATATCGGCGGCGAGTGGGCGCTTTGGGGTCGATGCATCGCCCCCCTGAGCCAACCCACCCCCCCTAACGTTGCCCCTGAGCCTCGGGCCCGCCGCGCTCGCCGCCGTGCGGCCAGCGGTCCCGCGGCGGAGGCGGCCAGGCCACCATAGGCGCCGAGAGGGGCCTGTCGGCGGACCCCGCGCCGGCTGCCGGAGAACTGGCAGAAGCAGGCTTGCGGAGGTCCTCGTTGGTTCTTAAGGGATGCCAATTGGCAGCAGCTGCGCCTCGCCAGGAGCTTTCCGCGGATGCCCAGATCGTCCCGATGGACCGCCGGACACTCGAAAGTATTGAGTCCGAGCTTTTCCTGCATTTCGGCCTTGGGGGGGCAGCTTCGGGCCCTGGGACGGTCAGAAAAACACCAAGGACGCAAAGCCAGCCCCAGGACAGAATTCAAAGGTCTGGGGCCTCGAGGCTTGAAAATATCGAGTCGTCGGAGATCTGGAGGCACAATCGGCTGGAAGATGGCCCAAGAGAGCCCCAAGAGGGGCCCCAGAGGGCTCCAAGACGGTCTCGAGATCGCCCAGGAGCGCCCCAAGAGTCCCAAGAGTTGATACTGGGCCTCCGAAAGGGTGGGGGGGGCCGTTGGATCGAGTGCCTTCACGATGGCCCCAAGAGGCCCTCCAGGTCCCCCAAGAGTGCCCTATAACAGCCACAAGAGTGCGCATAAGGCCTCCAAGATGGCTCCAAGAGGATCAACGAAGTCTCTGACTTCACCACCATTGGCATCCCTGGTTTACTATCTGCATACCTACGCATTTACACCAAGTAACTCCGATGGGATATTTTCCGGATAGGCTGGTGGGGATACTGTTTTGTTCGCGAGCGCAAGCGGAAGAGCCGCGCGCCGTCAGGAAGATGCCGAGTAACAAAGACCTAAATAGCTGGTGGGGATACGCGGCGCGTCCAGAATTTTCGAGTCTCTCGAGGTCTGCCTATCCAGCTCCCTGGTAGCCGCGCGGGCGAGCGGAAGACAACGCGCCGATGGGGGAAAAAAATGTTGGGAAAAAAAGCGGTCCTGAGCCGCCTAAACCCGCGCGGCTGGCGGGCCTCTCGGCCTGCTCCTCCCTCCGACCTCCTCCTATTCCTCCTCCTATTCCTCCTCCTATTCCTCCTCCTATTCCTCCTCCTCCTCCTCATCATCATCATCCTCCTCCTCAGGAGCAGCAGCGGTTGCTGGCTCGGACAACTCCATGATAACTCAGTACCTTCCTTGCTCCCTCCATGCCTCCCCTTATCATCACCCACCTTCCCACAATATCCTCCTCCTCCGCCTGCTCCTCCTCCTCCTCCTCCTCCTCCTCCTCCTCCTCCTCCTCCTCTTCCTCCTTATCCTCCTGATTATCCTCCTCCTCATCCTCCTCCTCATCATCATCAGCATCAACAGCATCAGCAGCAGCAATCAGCATCAGCATCATCAGCATCAGCAGCATCAGCAGCAGCATCATCAGCATCATCATCATCAGCAGCATCATCATCATCATCATCAGCAGCAGCATACTCAGCACCATCAGCATACTCAGCATCATCATCTGCATCAGCATCATCACCATCATCGTCATCATCAGCAACAGCATCACCATAATCAGCATCATCATCATCATAATCAGCATCAGCATGAACAGCATCATCATAATCAAGGTCATCATCAGCAGCAGCATCATCAGCACCCTCATCAGCATCAGCATCCTCATCATACTAATCGACATCAGCAGCATCCTAATCGTCATCATCATCGTCAGCATCAGCATTATCATCATCAGCAAAATCATCACATCATCATAGGCATCGTAAACATCCGCATCATCATCACCATCATCACCATTATCATCAACGTCATCACCATCCTCATCCTCATCATCAGCATAATGATCATCGTCACCGTCACCGTCATAGTCATCGTCATCGTCGTCATCGTCACCATCGTCATCCTCGTCATCATCGTCATCATCGTAATCATCGCCATGGTCATCATCATTATCACCACATCCACAGTCATCAATCTGTTACTCTCCCTCCTCCCATCATCTTGATGTCCCTGCTCCTTCTCCTCCTCCTCGTCCTCCTCCTCCTCCTACTCCGCACCCTACTTTTGGTCTCTTTCTCCCTCCCCTCATCATCTCTTCTTGCCTCCTCCTCCTCCTTCTCGTCCTCCTCCTCCTCCGCTGTCGCTTTCGCCTCATCCTCCTGCTCCTGGTCCTCCTCCTCCTGCTCCTCCTGCTCCTCCTGCTCCTCCTCCTCCTCCTCCTCCTCCTCCTCCTCCTCCTCCTCCTCCTCCTCCTCCTCCTCCTCCGTCCACTCCTCACCACCTCTTCCCCTCTCGGCACCCCTACCTGCCTGCCTCCCTCCACGCCCCCTCTTCATCCCTCCTTCAAATGCCTTCTCATCCCTCGTGACTCCTCCCTGCGCCCTTCCTCCCTGCTCCTACTCCTCTTCCTTTCCATCCCCCCTCCCTTCTTTGCCGAGCAAGGACGCAAGACAAGGAATTAAACAACCCGCGGCGGAAGTCTGAGAAGAGAACCAGCAACAGAAGCCATACTGGACCCCCCACCCCCCCGGGGACGACAGAACGGCACGGATACCGCAGCTGCATGAACCTCCCAGGAGCGCGCTGCGACCAAGACTTCGAAACGAATGCAGCCGAAGCGGCGAGGGATGGGCAGCGGAATCGGCATATATTCTTCCTCTGGCCCTCTTTGGCGGCCCTCTTCCCACCCCGGGTGCCGGGTCGGACGAGAGGGCAGGGTGGGGTCATACAGTCAGGTCGGACGAAGAAGGGAAACGTAGCGAATCAGCTCGCGTAGCTGGTTTTCCCGGCGCCGGGAAAGTGCTCGGCGGCGAGGCCGAAACACTTTCCCTAACCCCCCGTTCGTCCGCCCCGAGTGCGGGGGAAGGGGGTCCAGCACCGACCCAGGAAACCGACGCGGACCTCCCAAAATGTATGTTTATAACGCTTGTTGCCCAGAAGCGATCGCAGCGGGACCAGGCCACCAACTCGAGCGTACATGACCACGTAATTGAGGCTGGCCGAAGAGGCAAGGATGCATAAGTTGCCTCGGAGAAAGCGCTGGATCCTTTCCACACGGTGGCTTTGACTTTACATCGAAAGACCCCCTCCAGCGTTACAAAACTTCGAATTTGTTTTGTGCCGTAGGCCGCCGAATCCATCGCACCCTGCCCCAGAATGGAAGCTGGAGACTGCCCGTGTCGTCCAAAAAGGGACAGCCCTACGCGGGGCTGATCCCTTGGATGAAAAAATGCGGACGGCAGAAGTAGCCGAAGACATGGTTTGCCTCCTTCTAGGCTGCGGGGCCCTGGTTAAATATTGGATTTGAAGCCAATGTGGGAAAGTGCAGTGCGTCGTACACCATTTTTACGGGCCAAATGGAGTCGGGACTGGAAAACATTCTGCCAACACCTTCCTCAACAAAAACATTCTGGTCTCCCTCCACGTCGACCAGAACTTTTGCCGCCCGGCCGGACAATTGCGATTTCGCGCGGAATTCCCCCACAAAAGCATCCGGTCGCTCTCCACGCTGGCGATTGCTACTTCTTGGCATCCAAATTTCTGGTCCCGGTTCACGCAAACGGAAAGTGCCCATTTCGTGTGGCCCTGCCTCAAGCCCATGCTTCTGGTCCCGGCATGCCGTCATAAAAATTACAATTTCGTTTGGGACGTTCGCATCGACAGGTCTTCGTTCCGCGATCGACGAGCCAACAACCACGGGGTGGATCCTTAGTGAAGCCAGTCTCTTCGATCATCCTCGACCCTGGGTCCTCAATCCTCGATCAACCTCGATCTCTTCTTCCCTGACACTCGAATCTGGATCCTCCATCCGCCCCGAGAATCGAGGATCGAAGAGGTTCGAGGATCGAGGGGGAGGTGGAGGAGGATCAATGAGACAGAAAAGGCGGATCGAGGACCCATGGGGTTCGAGGAAGAGGAAGAATAAGAAGAAGAAGAGGAAGAAGAAGAACAGGATCGATGATCGATGATCCAGGATCGAAGGGGTTCGAAAATGGAGGCGGTGGAGGATGATCACGGAGGAGAAGGGTGGCGAACGGATGACGCAACATCGAAGAACGAGGACGAGGATCGAGGATCGGTTAGGGGTTAGGGGGACGATTGAGGAGGACCGAGGTGGAGGAGGACCCTCTCGTCGCCACTGACTGGCTCCTCTCGGCGAGGTTGTGCTTTGAGGTGTTCTGCAAAATTCGTTACGTAACGAACACGGGCGTGCGAAATCAACATCGCCCTCAAGCTAGTTCTTCTCAACGTGTATGTTGATGCACGGTATGCGAGACCAACTGCTCCAGCGTGGGGGCCAGGCGCCAGGGTGCTTTTTGTTTGTCGGGACTCGATATCTCGATATTCCGATATCCGGGGGCGCGGCTGGGCGTGGACTCGCCATTTCGATATCTCGATATCTCGTAGTCGCGCGGCGGGGACTCGATATGTCGATATCAGGGGAGAGGATTCGATATCTCGATATTGCGATATCTCGATATCGGGGGCGGGGCCGGGCGGGGAATCGATATCTCGATCTCGATATCTCGATATCGGGGGCGCGAACTCGAGACCTCGATATCCAGATATCGGGGGGGGGGGGGGGGCGTTCGGGGGCGGGGCTCGACGCATGGCGCCTCGCCCCCCCCGCCCCCCTCGAGACATGCAGGACAAATTCTGTCGCGTGGTAGGTTGCTGCCCCTCCGACACTCCTGATCGGCCGACGGCGGCATCTGCGCCCGCGGCGGTGGCATGGTACCTCGGCTCCGAAAACAAGCATGCGAATCATGATCAAGAAGGCCATCTGGCACGGGCTGCTCTGAAACCGCGCGCGCACGCTTGCCGGCGCCGGAGCTGCGCAACCGATCACTGTGGACGTCGAACTCTGGAGCCCCAGAACATCTATCACCATCATCGGAAGAACAGTTACTATCTGCATGATTCCGCGCCTTCGCCCACGCCCTTGCATCAAACATCGCGCGCAGCAAATCCAACGACTGCCTTCCTTGATTCACGTGCTGCTGGCCATGAGTGGATTTCCTCAGACTGAAACGATCAGCCCCACTCTCCACGCCAACTCCAAAATGCAGCTCGGCGGCACTACGCCACTGTCTCGGAGCAAGACACCCCTCGCACTCACGG